GTTATATGCTAATGTTTCAAAGTTGGCGGCTGTACTTTTTCTGCCCTTACTCCCTAAAGCTGATGCATGTCTGCTGTAGTTGTATCTGTAGTCCAGAGGCCTCTGGGAACTCTCCTTCCATTCATGGACATTAGCTTGGCAGTGGCAGCTTACTGGTTAAGGAAGGGAACTTGGGTCCGGAGGGTTTCTGGTTCAAGTCCGCCAAGTTGCCACTGAGGTGCTCTGAGCATGGCACCATCCCCACACACTGCTCCCCGGGTGCTCAAAGCTGCCCACTGTTCACTTTGGTGATGGGTTAAAAGCAGAGGTCACAGTTGGTTGTGTGCTGTGTCACAAGGACAACTAGTTGACTTTCCACTTTCCTTAACGTCAAATCTTCTTATGTTGTTTTGCTGTTAGCAAGTAAGGTGTATGTGTAATTTCAGGTAAATGGCGCTTGAAAAAAAGTCAAAAGTATTGACCCTAAGAGGGTCATAAAGTCACCAAAATTATTCTAAATGACTGCTGGACAAATATTGGTAGTTAGCTCTAGCACTAACATCAGCAAATCTAATCTGCAAGGTCTCCTGACATTGAAATATTTAAAAAAAAATCCTAAATCAAGTTCAAGTCCTTGAGGATTTCTGACTAGAAGGTGTGTGTAGATTAACAGCAGCTTGACTTAATTCCCAACTCAACTCATTGTTTATATGACAAATCCAACAGGTTTCCATGGCATTAAAGTCACTCTTCTTCTCCTCTGTTAGCGGATTAGCGGCTGTTGTTGTTGTTTTAAGTTTCCTTGAATCCACCTGGAATTGATAGTCGTGTACATCTGCATTCATATAAGTGTGTAATTATTCATGACAGCGCTCGGTGTGCCTTAAGATGCTGACATCCTGTCACTGCAGCGTCTCTGATGTCACTCCCTTGGGCATCCTGCGTTAGTGTCGGAGCAAATTTATGATGTGATCTGCCTTACATAGACTATAATAAAAACTAAATGGTTGAACTTTGACCACGGACACGCCTTTATCATTAAGGACAACAGCACAGCTGCTACAGACACTTTTTCCTTTCTCTTTTCTAATTAATTTGTAATGACGTTGGCGTCTCCTTAAAGCAATTATCTTTGACTTTTACAGATACACAGAAATTGTTTTGCCTCACGCCGTCACCCCCGAGGAGAAAACAAATCACTTCACTTATATTAAGCCATATGTGCCAGGGTAAATTGACAGTCGTGACCTCTCTCTTCTACTGCAAGGCACAGTGACTGTCATAACATCACAACACAGGGAGTTAATAGAGAATATTACTTATTACTTTTTCTTCTACTATATGTAGGATATATATATATATATATATATATATAGTATGGCATGTACGATATAATGTGGAAGAACATGCATTTTTCTATGTAAAACTTAGTAAAACTTTTAGTTTAGTAAAAACTACTAAGTTTCGCTCGTTAAGCTACTTCACAGCTACATTTTTAGCTTTTTTTCGTTAGTCTATAATCTGTGTTCGTGCTTTGACTAATTTCAATATTTAAGGCCAACTCAAACATAAAAATACAGTTTTTAAACTCAGACACAAACCAGTGAAAAGGGAAGACCACCACTCCACCTCTCACCAGCCCCAACGGATGAACTCTACAACCAATAATAATCTTTCAATAACAAGAATGGACCTTTAAATATTAAACCACCCAATTAAACACATGCATGATCAGGATATAAATATTAACCGCGTGTATATCATGAAATTAAGCCCAGTGGTGGTAAATGGATGCAGATATGTGGCCATTTAAAGGCAGAGCATGAATTAAAAATGAGCAGAGAAACAAAACAAATGCAGATGCTTCCACCAGGCACCTGAGGGCTCACTGAATGTTTGATGCACATGATAATTATGTGAATTTTTAATCTCGGTAGCAGATCACGTCCCACAATAGCACGTACGAGTCGAAGCCAGAGTGAGCCCAGTCTGAGGTCAGACAGCTCCTCAAGACTCTGTTTCCCTTTCAGGTCATTAGCCATTAATCTTTAACCAAGCGTCTTGAAAGACCTCTTTAATGTCTTTGTTTGGGATTTTTTAAAGGTTCTTCTTGAATTAATGGGACACTCAGCAGAATCCACAACAGTTCAGGGATCCTCCCATTTTCCCTGGTTAGAGTTTTAACACTTTTGAGCACATGTCAAGCACTTTCAAGGTCAAATATAAAACTAATGTAATACTTTGAGTTTTGTAGATTTCCCCATGTTAACTGTTTCTACTTTAGAGGCTTGACATTTATTTAGTGTTTGGTTAAATCTTATTTTACACATAGTTGGCTATTGGCTATTCATAGTGGTTAGCTTTTTGACATCACCTAACTATTTGATAAAATGAATGTAATTCAACAACCGGTGGCTTTAATTTAAATAATCTTTGAATAGTACTTGGTCACATAAGAAACTTTTGAAAAAATCTAAATACTAAAATGTACCATTTCACACCATCATATTTAAGCATTTTCCTGGATTACCGGCAGCATAACCAAACCTGGCTACAGTTACGGTAACTTAAACAATGTCACAGGCCAACATCTGGGTAAAACCCTTCCTACTTCTGTTTCATATTCTTGTATTTCCATCCGAGTGTCTGCTGTTTATTGAAAACTGCAAATCCTCCTCCACTCGACTTCACTTCATACCTGGAGGTGTAGCTCTCACAATAACAATCCTTTCAAAACTGACTTCAGCTCCACAATCTTAAAAATAAACCCCTGGAAAGAAGGATGTTTTTAGGCTGCTGCTGTTGTTTCTGTATCGTTATATTTGTTGTGCGACTCCTTCATCTTGTTGTTTGTACCAGTTTATTATTATAGATTTATTTATTGCAAACCCAGGCGAGGGAATATAAAAGAGGAACCCAAATTCAGCTCGAGCCGATTTACATTTAATAAAGCTAAAAGAAACATCTAGTAATTTTATTGAGTTGGTGTAATTGCCCCATAATTACTCCTAAGTGTGTAATTTACAAATGGAATATTAAAGTGACTTCAGAGACAATGCATAACAATGTGTGACCGGACTAAAAATGGAGTCGATAATGAATCTAACCCTTTTCAAAAAATTAATTTCAAACAAATTTAATTTTAAAAACCTGCAAAGGTTACGCTGCCAATATTGTGATTTCTCTGAAGTGCTGCAATCACTGGCAAACAGTTCAAAAGGCTGAGAGAGCCAGATTTGGCAGCGCCGCACGTTCATTTGGCTCAGTTTCAGTGGAAACACAATGGAAAGCAACAGAAACACAAATCTAAAAATCGACCCCAACACAGAGCAAACGGCTTATTAGTGTATCCCAGTTTTAATCAGTCACAGATTTCTCGGAAGCCTGGTGGCTGAGTAGGTGGACTAATGGCCGGGAGTTGAGGTTTAGTTTTCAGATTACCATCAAATGAGACCAGGACGCGCACCAGCAGCAAACTGCACCGTGGTTTGACTCTCACAATGCTGTTTGCCACAGACCACTGGTGGTCTGTGGCAGCGGCAGCAGCTGTGGGTGTTTGGGACCGAGGACAGGGCTGTAGAGCACTGGGCTTGGTCCAACTGCCTCCTGGGATCATGTCTTGCTGTTCAATTCTAATTCATGTACATATAAATAACTGTCGCTAATTGGATTAAAAGGCTCGCTAGTGGGAAGGCAGCAGAGTGCAGAAACAATTTGCTCTGTAGAGGCTCCTTTAGTTTTCAATTTCCTATTAATAATTCTAGGTTAACGCGTAAAATGAAGAACAATATCCTCAACAACAGAGAAGTAGCAAATACAATTTAACAAAGTTGAATATAAAAACCAAGCTAGTTAGCTTAGCTAGCTTGGAGCCACATAATTAATTTTGTTTAATTATAAAGTTCAGTCTGCTACTTTGGAGGTTAATTTGATTAGCTAGCTTGCATTTGACCTTAATCCTTTTAGCCTTACCAACTATCAAAGAAAAGGCTAGCTAAGTGACTGTAGCTAACTGCAATTTGGCCTAAACATATAGCCAAAGGGCAGCTAACAGATGGCTAACAATAATGTATAATATGTAGAATTTGCAAAATTGAGCCCAAAGGAGTGCAAGGATAACTAAAAGTATGAAAACGTACATGTTTATAAAGGCTACTGTAAATGCTAACACAATATAACTCTCTTTAAACTCTAGCTGAAAGGTCATCACAAATATTGCAAAATAGATCAAAATAGATCTATTCAAGACGTAATTAAAATAAGTTTAAAGACAGACTAACATTTTTCAGGCCTCACAAAATACTTTTTTTCTGCAGAAGGAAGTTTCTTTACGTGATTTTAACAACAGCACGATACGTAAATGCAATTCACAAATACATGTGAGTCACATAGATGGCACAGCTAGCTTCAAACGCAACCAAAACTTTAGCTTAAAGTTTAATTGATGAAAGAGAATTGTTAAAACGATGTTCCTTTCTCTTCTAAAAGAAGAGAGTTTTGAATGCTTATAAAAGTGTTTTAAACTAAAGAGATCTTGCAGCCAAATTCACACTGGAGCATTGGAAAGCAAAAGTTTTGATGAATATTTCAGTCAAACACACCATCAGCTCTGAGAACTGAGACACAAAAAGACTTCCCTTTTGAGAAAAAAAAAAAACAACACAGCTTTCAACAAAACTCCGCAGATCATCGAGTTTTGTCTCGGCTCCGTTTGGTTAACTGCTGGTGCAAAACCAGGATGGGCTGTTGGGAGCGGCGGAGAACAAATGAAGATAAAGCAGTCAGCAAAAACGACAATGGCTGCATGTGATTCAGAAGAAATGGACTGTGGTGGATGCAAGAGAGCGAGGCAGAAGGAAATCTAAAAGAGGAGAAGGACGGAGTGAAACTGAGAGGGAGAAAATTGGAAGACGGCTACACAAACACTACACACTGGAACAAAGCATGTTTGTAGCTGCAGAGCTGCAGATATGGTGAGAGGATGAGGTGAGGAGGAGGACAGGATTGTGGGGGAGGCTTACCTGGGTACTGTGCAGCGCCTGTGTTGGAGGGGGAGGACAATCGCAGGAGCAGGAGAGAGAGGAAGGAGAGAGGGGAGAAAACAGAAAGGGAGGTTAGCATTCAAAGCCCCATTTAAATGAATTTCCCTATTTGCAGGTGCTCACAGGTGCATGCTGGTAAAATACAGATGGCAGGAAAGAAAGCAAAGCAACACTGTGTAAATAATCAGAGCATTAACTGTAACATATCAGTACAAACACATGGGAACCTGTACAGCTGCTAACCTTTAGCTGTTTTGACAAACCATAAACTAATTATGTAACTTTCAGGCTAACGTAAACACTGTGTTAATGTTGGTACCTTTTGTTTAGCTTTAGCTTTTTATGGATGATATGCCTTTTAGCCAAATAGGAGCAATTTTGGCTAAACATTAGCTATACTTTGCTGTTAGCAGATGGGGTTTGATTAGTTAATCATCTTAGGTAACGGTTGTTAGCAATATTGACTATTTTTGAGCTATTTTGTTGGAACATTTGTTGCATTTCTAACTTTCTTCCAGGCTAACTCTTCACTTGTTCAAAATGTTTACTGGTTGTGACTTTTAGTTATCTGTCAGCTAATATTTTATATTGTGGTGAACTTAAGCTCTTTCTAGGTTTGTTTAAAATATATTTCTGGTGATGTTTAACCATGACTAAATTTAACTCATCGTCTTTAACTTTTATTTTTATGGACTAAACCTGAGCTATTTTATGGCTAATCTGTGCTTATTTTAGCCTAGCATTAAGCAGTTTTTTTTTGCTAGTTGAAAAGCTTGTTTGGATATAGGATAATTTTTGCTATATTTTTTTGTGGCATACTTATGGTTTAATTTATTATAATGTTATGCATATGTGTTGTCTTATGCATTCACTAACCACCTAACCTATGTATTTCTAAGTGTTAGCTTAGCAAGAGAATTATCCCATACACCAGAATAGGTTGAAACTCCCCAGGCCCCCAAGAGACGTCGAGACCTAACATTTACATAAATACATTCAAACACAGTTAATAAGTGGGTTGAGTTCCTGGAAAAGTTTACATAAAATCAAAAATAGCTCAATTGAAGTACCCCGCCTCCAGCACCCCCTCATTTTACAGTCTGGCATCTGTTCAGATTCCCGTCGTTGAAAAATCCTTTCCAGCCAACTTAGCATCAGGATTCCAGTTAAGAGGCAGCTTTTGATTAGAAAACCCATTTCCTCTTAAACTTTTGCCAATTCTCAATCATGCCGATATTCTAATTACTATCATCCAGAGCTAGTGAGAGAGTGTATCTGTGTGTGTGTCAAGTGAGGCAGGAGGAAAGTGCGTGTGTGTGCATGTAAGCAGAGAAAATATATGAACATAAACCCTGCAGATCATGTGGAACAAAGCAGATTTTTTCTTTCTTTTTTTGCCTCTTAGTTTCTTTGAGGTCCAGAGATGTATCTGCTTAATCGTTGCTCATTTGCTTCTCCTTAATCCTTGGACAATCTTAGAGGTCCTTGAACCCACTCATCTGATGTGTTGTCAAAGCATTTCGTCAACGTGAATCACGTTCGCTTCCATGCTACTGCTTTCGTTTTCACACTGCGGTGTCTTTAATGAGCATGACTAATTCAAACATGAAAATATTCTTTAAGAAAAAAAAAAAAACCCTGGGCCAGGCAGTCTGCAATCTCAACTTGAGGATTTTCTGAAAGCTACATGGAGAGCCAGCTGCCAGTTTATGAGGTCCTGCTGCCGTCAGAACAGAACTTAATTCTTGGTGGTTAAAAAAAAAAAAACTCTCTACATTCCTTAATGCTCAGAGTCATTGGCATGCGATTGACTCATGTTGCGGCTCAACAAGTGTCCCTAATAAAGTGGCCAGAAAGTCCGCTAGTATGCAGGGAGTGCAGTCTTCTAACAAAGCAAAGCATCACTTTTCCCTGCTTAAGCATTCAGCCGTGGCACGCAGGAAGCAAAGTGCTTCAGAGAGTCACACAGTCAACACGGACCACCCTGGAGTTCAGGTTCATTCAGTGTGAAGGCTTCGCTTCGGGGATATTACACAGCAACAGGCGAGGTGTGGAGCAGCTCTCCCTCATGTTAAGTAAATGGAGAGAGGGTGAGGAATAACTGCAGCGCTGCGCCGCCCTCTTATGGGTCTTGCGGGAGCCTTTGCTTTCCCGTTCTGACCCACAACCTCCAGAGGTGAGGTTAAATGACAAGGACTGTAGAGATGCATTAAACATTAGCCATTTGGACCCAGGGAGAGAGAGAGAGAGAGAGAGAGAGAGAGGGAGCAGAGAGCTGGAAGCTGGACCACTCCAGAGATGATAGGGACATTAACCAGGGTTTCACCAGGGCTTGAGCTGCATTTAATAAGGACCCTCTGCTTCCACCCGACGTCTCTCTCCACGTTTGACTCACAGCCGGGGAGCTAAATAGTTCAAGATAAACACTGCCACCACTTTTTCTGCCGCCAACTGTCCGATTTTCAGTTGTTTTTACCCTCAGTCTGGACTAAAACTTGGGAGAGTCTCTGTAGTGAGTTGTAGTCACATTTGTAAAGAACAAAAAATGAGCTATTCTGAAAACAGTTTAAGAACAAACCTTAACTGTTGTTACGGTTCAGAAAAAGTAATAAATAATAAACCCATTTGAAAGGTGATCCTTTACAGTTTCACCTTCACGTTTGTAGCTGTCAGATTAATAATTTGGGTTCTTCAGTCGGAGAGTTACATGAACTCTTTAGACATGTGCAGGGCTTCAAGTGTCACCGCAGGTTATCAGAGACAGCGGCTGCATTGATTCAACGTTCACTCCTGATTAAAAAGGACTGTAATGTAGGTGGATGTTATTGGCTTCGGATCAGATTTACTTTAGTCTCAACCACAGACCCGTATGAATAAGGTCTTGTGCTTATTGAAATATCGTTATCGTGTTTACTGTAAAACGTCAACTCAGGCCATATTTGAATTTTGGCCAGAACAGGATCAGAACAAGTGAAGCTGCCGTGAATGTAAGGACTCAGGGAAAGGTGTGTCCAGTCTTTTATGAGTAGACACAAAAGGCCAATGTCACACTGCAAACCTAAAACATACTGCAGACGTACTGCAGTAATACTGTAAATCCTGCAACTAAAGGTCAACATTTTTATTTCTGTTGTGAACCTTTTGACTAGAAAGTCTTCAATCTTCCGTTACTGGTGGTTCATTTTGACAGAGACACCTTACCTACTATAGAGAGAATGACAGAAGACAGTGTCCACCATTAGAACTTGTTGCTTGGACATGTTTATAGATGTTGGATTTGGGTTCTGACCTCTGTGGTCTGTGATTGGTGAAACATGAGGTCCTCAACCGGGACAAGTTGTGTTTTGGTAAGCCTACAGAAAGACAAAGTAGGACTTTGGTCGTGTTCCAAATCATTTTCCTTAAGTACAGTAAGTCTTGTTCCCGCAAAGAAGTAAATGGGCTGCTGCTAAACTCTTTCAAACCTACACTACAGTAGATACTGTAAAAAGTTCTTCTGGATCCACAACAACAGGGAGATTCACATTCAGGTTTAAGGTCTGGACAAATGGACATAATAACGGCTGAATGGACATCACACAGCAGAATATTATTGTTCTACCACAAACACAAGGATGTTTCCTGTAATGGCAAGGAGCAGAAATGTGTTTTTAGAACTCATCCAGCCTCACATCATGATGAAAAACAGACAGAAGGAGGGGGAAAAAAAGAAGCCCCAGCTGTTATGGAAGTTCCATCTGTATTCATCAGGTAGGGGAGGTCTGGACACTGTCCTCGCTGATAAAAAAAAGTATGAAACAAAAACAGTAACAACATTAGCTTCCTCCGACGCAGTGAGACCACTGCTTTGCAAGTGCATCATCTCCAAAACGTAACTCTTGGTTAATGGCCTGGAACGCACATTCAGTGTCTATCAGAGGGGGACATTGGCGGAATGGGATGCACATGCTGACGACCTCTAACGCTGGCTGCTGAATCGCACAAACACAAACTCAACGATCGTCTGTCAGCACACACACAGAGAGAGAGAGAGAGGGAGGGAGAGAGAGGCTCACAGAGCAGCCCGTTTAAGTACAGCAAGGAATAATGTGTTGATTAAATCTGTGATCAGCTGCCTAAGGGGCATGAAATTGGACATGATGAGTGTGGCACATTAAAAACTAATTATCAATAGCACTGATCCTGTTGTCTTTCTTTTAAACCAGTGACGGCAGTAAATCAAGTGTGGAGAATAGAAAGCCATGCGCTCTATCATAATGAACTGCGGGGGGTTACAAGCGTACCTGGACGCTCTGTTTTATTAATGGTTTCGTTTTGGTTTGAAAGTTTCATTACTAACTGCTCCCTGCGTCGTCATCGAAATGCAAAGCCACAAACAGACGTGTTAATTTAAGTTTCATGTGAGTGTGATGCAATAATGTAATTAATACATCAAAATGTGTGCTGCCCTCTGCTGGCCTCTCTGGGATGATCTTCCTGGAGACTCACCTTCAGAAAAGGTCAAGTTACATTTTTATTTGACAACAACTCCACATACTAAGACGGTTTGGACATGAATTTGGGTCGACTGCTGCTCCACACTTCTATGAAGTAAACTGTAAAGTGGAATTTAAACACAAACTACCATCGCTCTGCAGCAAAACAACAGTCCAGTCTTTACACACGCAACCTGCCAAATAGGTGAAGAAAGGTAGCCAAAATGCTTCTATAATTAAATTAGTCTGGTCAAGTCTTGGACCGCACCAACCAATGACATTTGACCTACAAAAAGAGGAATGACTGCCTCATGTACCATTTCTGATGATGGCTTGAACTGTTGGCCACATCTGATCCAAATTCCAACCAAAAGTGCTGCATTTTGGTCAGAAGAAAAGTACCATAGTTGTATCTGTTCATCATTTGACCCCTAAAGGCCCAATGAGGGAATGTCTGCAACCTTTGCTCTGGGGACTCTTGGTCGACCAATAAATTCAAGAACTAAAACTCATACAAGCATC